ACGTTTCTTCTACATGTATCTGATATATATGGAAAAAAGAATTACTGCCTATATATGCAGAACTTGTAACTCACAGGACTTCTAAACTAAAAGACTTTTCTTAATAGGTGTGAAGTGAAATTCTGCAAGTAGCTGCATCCAGGAACTTCAGAGTTAAACCAGTATCTCAGTATAATCTGTCGCTGCTACAGTTTCCTTTCTTTGACCTCCAAACCTTATATTGAAATTTGACCCCCAATGTTGAAGGCGGAACCTAATGGGAGGTGTTGGGTCATGGGGGCAGATCCCTCATGAATAGCTTGGTCATCAATGAGTGAGTTCTCACTCTGTTAGTTTCTGGGAGAGCTGGTGGTTAAAAAGAGTGTGCCACGTCCCTTCTCTCTCTTTTTGCTTCCTCTCTCTCCAGTGATCTGCCACGCCAGCTCCCCTTCATTTTCTGCCATGAGTGGAAGCAGTCTGAGGCCCTCACCAGAAGCAGATGCTGGCACTATGCTTCTTAGACAACCTGCAAAGCTGTGAGCCAAAGCATTCTCTTTTCTTTATAAAGGACCCAGCCTCAGGTATTCCTCTATAGCAACACAAATGGACTGAGACACTTGTGCTTCCTTTCATTAGCTATTTCAAGCTCAAAAATTACGAGATTGTTCCAAAAATTAGGGCAGGATCTTGTCATTGTGAACTTACAACTTTTCTGTCTGAAGCAAACTAACCCCAAACCGTAATTTGAAAGGTGCCTCTACTCCAACTTCCTTACCCTTCAACTGCCCCTTCTCTGCCTCCCACTCCCTTCTTACTCACCAAAAGACAAATGAGTTTAGGCTGGGCATGGTTAATCATCGTTCTCAGAAAAACAAAATCCTGCTGTTTGGTATTCTCACTGAGAATCCCTTCACTTAGCTTATGGATCCCCCTCCACAGATTCCTGACAGCTCACTGGGCCAGGGAACCAGCCAGATTTTTTAGCTACATCTGCAGTATCTTTTCTACTCCAGCAGCTGGCATAAGGTGGGAAAATTCATTAACATGCTAATGATGTCCTACTTAAAATTCTAGCCCTGATTATTCTGTGATTAAATCTCTCCCCTTGACGTCGGTTTCCTTTATAGCTGAGTTACAGTGCGAAATCAACAATATTAATAAAGTACAATACAGATTACCAATTTATACACAAGGGATGGTGGAAAACAGTTGCGTAAATCTGAGGGCTCTTTTTTTCTTGAAAAGTAGTTATAGGCCTGGCACGGTGGCTCATGCTTATAATCCCAGCACTTTGGAAGGCCTAAGCGGGTGGATCACCTGAGGTCAGGAGTTTGAGACCAGCCTGGCCAACATGGTGAAACCCCGTCACTACTAAAAAAACACAAAAATTAGCTGAGCATAGTGGTGGGCACCTATAATCCCAGCTACCTGGGAGGCTGAGGCAGGAGAATCACTTGAACCTGGGAGGCAGAGATTGCAGTGAGCAGAGATCGCACCATTACACTCTAGCCTGAGTGACAAGAGCAAAACTCCGTCTCAAAAAAAAAAAAAAAAAAAAAAAAAGCAGATGTAGCGAACTGTAAAAGTTGCTGATTTTTTTCATTCCACCCTTCTTTAAATAAACACACACATTGGAATCCACAATAATTAAATGTTTATAGTTAATTTTCATAAATATTCAAGGCTTGGAAGATAGATTTAGCTTTTCCTTCTATTTCACTGCACTTAACATTGCTCAGAATTCAAATGCATTCTCCTGAAGTCTCAAGAACAGCTGACAGGAGTTAAAGCACACTTCTTTAGCATCTCTTTATAGAGATTGTGTCTTGGTGACAAAAGCCAATGGATTCAGTGATGAGATCTGTCTCCCTTTGCCCTTCAGTACCTTGACATATTTCAGTTCCTTTTCTATCACCATATTGTTCTATCTGCTGACCCCCCAAACTGAAAGTCCGACTCAGACAACTCAAACATCTTCCAAGAAAGACAAACTTATCACTACCCTCATTAATTTGGAAAATGAATAAAGAAGCAGCAGATTCAAGGTCTGGATCTGCAATCTAAAATGTAGGAAGAGAGGACTCATGTGTCATTTTAACATCTGGCCCCAGTAAGTGAACAAATATCGATGGTATAGTATATTTACTATTTTAGAAGACATCATGCTGGATACCAAAGCAGTACAGTGAAACCTAAGGACGATGTTCTGACCTCAGTGGACTCATAATCTAGCCAGAGACACAAGATACAATGATATTTTAAGTGATGCATGCACCAAATTCATCTCAGGTGCATCATGAGAGATACACTTCACATCATTAAGAGGTCTCTGTATGAGAGACACTGCTCATTGTTCCCTAAGACTGCAAATCTCCCCTTTTGCTACGGAAACAGAATTCAGTACTTCAGCAGGGCACACTGCTGCCCAGGGTAAGGACAGCTCCCAGCCCCTCTTGCAAGTAGCTGTTACCATATAACAAGGTTAAGGTCACAGGGATGTGGCCGTAGCAGAGACGTGTGCAGATTTCTCAAAGGGCATGTAAAGGGGAAAGGTGAGCTCTCTTCCTTCTTCCTTTTTATCTGACTGGACTTGGACATGCATGTGGCTGGGTCAGCTGGGTTGGACTGAATGGCACAAGTTGTGGGGCAGAGAAGAACAAAATAGAAGAGTCTGAATTCCTGACAATCAGGGTGGCTTGATTATACGTCAGTTGCCCTTTTCCCCTGAACGCTGCATTCCACAACCACTGTTGGAAATCAAAATCTTTTTTAAGAATACTACATATTGCTCATTTCTTAAATGGTTTCATTCTCTAAGGCTAAAAAGAGTCATGGTACATGCATGCATATGTGTATGTGCGTAAGCACACTCTCCTTTGTACTTTCCCTACATTTAAACTTGAACCCACAGCTCCCTCTGAATTTTTAACTCCCAAAACACAAAAATAGCTGAATATGGACTTTGGCCCAGTTTTATCATATTTTAATAAATAAAAGCTTCAATATATTGAAGAGTTCATTATTTATTTGTTTCCCACACTCTCAACCCTAGATTATTAATCTGGTTCACCTAAAGCCCACTCACCTCAAATTGGTTAAAAAAAATTAAGCATGTGTAAATCAATGTATAGGGAAAAGGGTGGCTGATCCAGCAAAATCCAAGTGTAAAAACATGAAGAGAAGCTTCACAACAGTAATGAGCCATCTGCAATTTAGAATCATCCATAGTAGCAATCTCTCATTCCATTTGTTTATGTTTTATTCATCATTGTGAAAATACTTAGTGAAGTGACAATGATGAGATTCAAAAAAAACTGCACGGTTCTTTTTTTAAAAAGAGATATTAATGGCTTTCAAGGCTCTACTATTCAAATGAAAATATTGCTGGACTAAATTTGTTCAAATTTGTTCACTTCCTTTTTATTCTTGGATATAATATATTCTTCATTTTGTGACAAAAAGTTATGTGGTAATAACATGAGAAATGTTGTAGTTTCCATTGTTTATACATTTAAAAACTCAATAGCAGAAACCTACTTAAAATGTACAGTCCTCATTCCTATCACGACAGAGTAAACCAGGCTGTGGTGTCTCGGGTGACCATGTTGTCATTCCTTAGTACTATAGTTATTTAGGCTCAAACGTACAGTCTGTAATTACATATATGGCAAAAACAACGCTTGACCTTTAAGAATGAAAAGAAAAAAAGATAAGTACTGAGTTGTTAAAGTCAACTTCAGGGTATTCATTACAAAGAAGACAGAATAACTACTGAACATACTCTTTGATTCAAATATCTCTGTGAAGAAACCTCTCTCTACATAAATTGATAGGCATTTAAAAAAAAATTTATTCATCCCGAATTGATGCACTTAACTTCAGCTAGCGGATTTTATATTTCTCAATCTAGCTTATAGCTACTACTCTTCATTTACTTCAATTTACAGAATATTTACAAAAGCCCTATTTCAAATCTGGTTCCCATCAGCCCCGCTCTTTTCTTATGTCTTCTTAAATAAGCATACTTTGTAAAATATAGCTGTTTATTCATATATATTTCATTCAATTTTTTTAGTAAATAACATTTATTTAGGAATCATGGTATGCTATAAATGACCCCTGACTTTTAGTTTCTAGGGACAATGGAAAGGCACACACACACATACACACACACACACACACACACACACACACACACACTCCAGGATCTTTGTAAATAATCTGTACCAATCTGCCTAGGAGATAGATTTTATTCTTGTCATTTTACTGGCGCAGAAACAGGTTCCAGTATTTAATAAAGATTAAATCTGAATTTGCTTTTAATGATTTTATTCTGTATATTAGAAACTGAATCATCAGAAATTCCTTACATGTTTTAAGAAATAAGTTTTTACTATCTCAATTTGCACTGAACGAGTGCCTTCTGAGACCATCCCTCTGGGTGCAAATCTCAGAGTAACCTGTTACTCTTAACAACTGGAAAAGGAAAGAACTCAGAACACTTGAACTCCTCTGACCAGCAGACACTTTGGCTAAGGCAGCATTCACATCTTCGACATCATCTTGCCTGGGGAAAGCAGCTCTCAGAAAAGCACACACATAGAAGAGCCACTTTGTGGTCTTTCCTCGATTTTCTCAGATCAACCTGATTTAGTCTATGATTGTGCAGACTAGGAGACTGAGCCAAGAGACAAAAAGAAGATAATTGTCACACAAAGAAAATGCTCAAGACCTTGCCAAGGGAGAGACTGCCCTAAATAATAACAAGGCTATTAGCAAACGCAGGGTGGGACGGGGAACAGAAAAAGGAAAGATGTCATATGTGAATATGAAAACAAAAGCTGACAAGTAATTCTATTCAGTTTGCCAAGGCGCCTGCCAAAAACGTCCCCAAGGAAAAGGGCCATGTGCTCCGTGACACTCTTCACAGTGACGTTCACATAAAGCACAGAACATCCTGCCCGGCCACAAAACACAACAAATATCAACATCTCGCCAAGGAACAGTTGCGCACTACCTACCATAGGCAGTCTCCTGGTGCTCCACTTCTCTTCTCAGTCTGTCGTAATCTTCTTTAACACTTCCCAGCTTTTTGACATTCCTGGAACTCAACACCAACAGCTTGCTGAGGAGTCCCTCCAGCCCTTCTCTCTCTGATGTTAATGATCTAATCTCCTCGGTGAGATCTTTAGCTGTACAGAAATGGTTTCCTACAGCACATTGTGGGAGAGAAGGAGGGAAAACAAGCTTTACAGCATCCGTACACATGGAAGATCTAGCAGCAGCTAATGTGCATTCACAGCATGGGCAAAGAAACAGAACTTTGAGATCATGTACAACTTCCTTAGCAGTCTTCTGGGGAAAGAACCTGGAAAAATACTGCCCTCCTTAAACTGGAAAAATCACCAGTCTTTTTTATCACCTTATTCTTGTTATGTCTGTTTTAGGAGTTCCATTGGCTAAGCCATGTCCCATGAAATATGATGACACAAAAATGTCCCAGTGGAATCCAGAGGAACCACAATGTGTCACTCCATTCAAATAATATACAAATGTCAAAGAGATGACATATTATAGCAGTGTGGAAGGGGACTGGGTCATATAATCAGAGTTGACCTAAATTAAATTCCTCCCCTGTTACTCAAATTGCACGACCTGGAGCAAGAAAATTAGCACATCTGGGGCAAATTTCTTATAAAATATGATTGCAATAACACCTGACTCATAGGTAGTTACAAGAATAAACAAGAAATTCTGTCAAGCACTGAGCAAAAGATATGGTAAATTAAATGTAGCAAGGTTGCAGCATACAAGGTCAATATACAAAAATCAATCTTATGTCTAAATATCAATAACAAAAAACTAGAAGATGATTTTTTTTAAAAACACTATTTACAAACTATTTTAAAACTCAAAATACTAACAGATACTTTTTTTAAATTTGTGCAAGACCTCTACAGTGAAAACCATTTTTCAAAAACTGCTGAGACAAAGACAAATAATTTAAAAGATTAAATTATTATACATACACTGGAGGTTCAATATTGGTAAGATTTCAGTTTTCTCCACATTGATTCATTGATTTAATACAATTTCAATCAAAATTTTATGAGGCTGTTTTGTAGAAATGTGTGTGCTTATTCTAAAACGTTGAAGAGTGAGCCGGGCATGGTGGCTCACACCTGTAATCCCAGCACTTTGGGAGGCTGAAGTGGGTAGATCCCTTGAGGTCGGGCATTCAAGACCAGCCTGGCTAACATGGCAAAACCCTATCTCTACTAAAAATATAAAAATTAGTGGCACAGTGGCAAGCACCTGTAATCCCAGCTACTAAAGAGGCTGAGGCAGGAGAATCGCTTAAACCCGGGAGGTAGAGGTTGCAGTGAGCTAAGATCTTGCCACTGCACTCCAGCTTGGGCAATGGAATAAGACTCCACTTCTAAATAAATAAAAAAATAAATGAATAAAATGTAGAAGAATGAGCCCATGAGTTTGAAGCTGTAGTACACTATAATTGCACTATTGCCTGGGCAACATAGCAAGGCCCCATCTTGAAGAAGAAGAAGAAGGAGGAGGAGGAGAAGGAGGGAGGGAGGAAAGGAAGGAGAAGAAGATGATTATGATGAAGAAGAAGAATAGGAAGAAAGAAGAAGAAAAGCAGAAGAAGCAGAAACAAGAAGAAGAAGAGGAAGAAGAAGGAGGAAGAGGAGGAAGAGAAGGAGAAGGAATAAGAAGGAGGAGGAGGAGAGGAGGAAGAGGAGGGGGAGGAGGAGGAAAAAGAAGAAGAGGAGGAGGAGGAGGGGGAGGAGGAGAAAGAGGAGGAGGGGGAGGAAGAGGAGGAGGAGTGGCCTAGGTAAACCAAAGCAATCCTTAAAAAGTTAGTCTTGGTTTCAAGACTAAGGCTAAAGCCACTATAAATCAAGGTCATATGGTATTGCATATAGATGGACAAATAGATCGATGGAATAGAATAAACAGTCCAAGAGTGGATTTACACATATACAGCCAACCAAAGTGCCAAAGCAAGTCAATAAGGAAAAGAAAGTATTTCAATAAATGGTGCTGGAACAACTAGCTATCTACATGGGAAAAATATTAACCTTGATTCATACATCAAACCATACAAAAATTTAATTAAAGGTGGATCACAGGCCCAAATGTAAAAGTTAAAACTATAAAGCTTCTACAAAAAAAATTTAAAAGAATATTTTATTGACTTTGGAGTAGGCAAGAACTTCAGATAAGATACAGAAAACACTATTTTAAAAAAGGATAAATGGGCTTTATCAAAATTAAAAACTCCTCATCAAAAGATACCACTAAAAAGTGAGAAGACAAGTCACAGACTTGGAGAAAATCATTGCAATATGTCTAACTGACAAAGAAGTTGAATACTACAACTTGACAATTAAAACACAAATGGTGCCATTGAAAAACAGGCAAATGAGCCAGGTGCGGGGGCTCACGCCTGTAATCCGAGCACTTTGGGAGGCCAAGGTGGGCAGATCACGAGGTCAGGAGATGGAGACCATCCTGGCTAACACAGTGAAACCCTATCTCTACCAAAAATACAAAATATTAGCCAGGTGTGGTGGTGGGTGCCTGGAGTCCCAGCTACTCCGGAGGCTGAGGCAGGAGAATGGTGTGAACCCGGGAGGCGGAGCTTGCAGTGAGCCCAGATCATGCCATTGCACTCCAGCCTGGGTGACAGAGCGAGACTCCGTCAGGAAGGAAAAAAAAAAAAAAAAAAAAAAAAAACAGGCAAATGACTTAACAGGCATTTTACAAAGTAAGACACACAAATGGCCAATAAGCATATGAAAAAGCATTTGACATAATTAATCATTAAGAAAAGAAAAATTAAAACCATAATGATTCTACTACAAGCCCACTCAAATGTTTCAAATTAACTCGACTAAAAATGTCAACATTCACAAGGGTATGGAGCAACTGGCACTCTCACACATGTAAAATGGTCCCTTCAAGAAAAGTTCTGCCAGTTTCTCATAAGGTTAAATGTATACCTACCCTTTAATCCAACAATTCTACTTCTAGGCATTTACACAAAAGAAATGAAAACACGTAATCAAAAATATTTGCACTCAAATAAATGTTCATAGTGTCTTTATGCCTGAGAGCCAGTCCCAAACGGGAAGCAACCTAAATGTGCATTAGCAGGAAAATGCAAAAAGAATAATAGAGCTACGCAATGAAAGACTACTCAGCAATAAAAAGAAACAAACCCTTCATGCCTGCAGCAACATATATGTGTTGTTGGTTTTTTGTGTTTTGGTTTTTTTTAGATGGAGTTTTGCTCTTGTTGCCCAGGCTGGAGTGCAGTGGCGCAATCTCAGCTCATTGCAACCTCCACCTTCTGGTTTCAAATGATTCTCCTGCCTCAGCCTCCCAGATAGCTGGGATTACAAGTGTCCACCACCACGCCCAGCTAATTTTTTTATTTTTTAGTAGCAACAGGGTTTCACCATGTTGGCCAGGCTGGTCTCAAACTCCAGACCTCATGATCCGCCCACCTTGGCCTCCCAAAGTGCTGGGATTACAGGCGTGAGCCACCGCGCCCTGCCAACATGTATGTGTCTTTACAAAAGATGCAAAAGAGTAGTGCCACATGATTCCATTAAGTTTTAGAACAGGCAAAATTAATCCATGGTAGAAGGTATCAGAATAAAGGAGGGATGATGATGACTGGGACAATACAGGGTGTTGTTTCTTGAGTGATGAAAATGTTCTATCTCTTGATAGGGCTGTCTGTAACACAGGTGTCAAAATTCAAGATCTGTAAACACTTAAGACCTGTGCATTTCATTGAATGTAAACCATACCTCAATTAAAAAGAGGAAAAATTAGGAAATTTTAAAGTATGAACACTGAACAATAAATTACTAAATATATAACATTAATGAGTGCCCCACAAATTAGTGTTAGAAAACCCCACTATGTTTTCTAAGAATTTATAGTAACTATAATCACAATAATAGCTACAAACTTTCTCACCTTTGAATGTCATCACAACTTTAGGAAATAGGTTATAGCTTATATTATTATTACTATCATTATTATTATTTTACGTTTTAACATCCCTGAAACAGGGATGTGCCCTACAATCGCCATCAGCCAGGAAGTAGCAGGATGCAGTGGTTATAACTGGATTGTTTTCCTGGCCCTGGCTGACCATCTGCAACCCCCTGGTGTTTCAATGTACAAACTATTTTAGGACCATCTGCGTACTGGCTGTTGCCTGAAAATCTTGTATTGATGTGGATTTGTAAGGCTGGGAAAGCACCAGCATTCAAAACTTGAGGAAAGGTGTTAGCAGTTTGGTAGACAATCCTACAGAAAACAGTTTATTCTTGGGGGAGAAAAAGTTGCCTCCCAACAACTTCAGGGGTTCAGAGGATGATGATGTGTGGGGAAACACGAACCTCGACAACTTTGAGTCCAAATGTGCTGCAGAAGACTCAGACTGAACAAGAAGACGCCTAGGAAAACCTTAACCAATTTATTTTCCTTTTTAATGGGTGATAATGTGATTTTTCAAAAGCCTAAATACATCTAAAAGAGCTATATCCGTAAGCATAAGATAAAAATTCTAAACCATAGAAAGCACTGTTACTGTTTAATTGACAGCAATGTTTCTTTCTTTGTAATATATAAAATAACGGGTGCTTTTTATGTTCACTGAAATTCATATTGTTATCTCTTTTTACAGCTGGGAAAACAGAAATCTGGAGAACTAAAATATCTTGCTGAAGATCACAGTGCAGTAAACCATAGGACAAGTTTCCAGCTGGAACATCACCCCAGAACCCCTCCTCTTAAGCATAAATTATGTTGCTAACTTCTTTATTGTTACTTAGTAGGCAGATTTCAAACTGATACAAATGTTGAAAATGATACAAAATGTTTTCCCACCTTAAGGGCATTCTGAAGCCTAGCACATATCATCTGTCACTGAAGTCCATAGTTTCCAATGCCATGATTTTATAAAGACCCTATTGAGACTCATGCGTTTGTCTCTCACTGTTTTACGCAACATGGCAAACACAAAAGAGAACAAGTACTGCTCCTGCTCTCCAGGAAGTTACCACAAAATAAAGGGGAGAAGGTGCCTTCCAAAGAAAAAGCAAACACTAGGAGAGGTCAGAGGAGAAGAGAGATTATTCCGGGACAGACTGAGGCAGATTTCGGGAGG